AACTTGTCAATATTCCTCCATACTGCTCGTCCAATGTAATCCAAGTGTCCTGAGTGGGTAGCATCCAGAATTTACTCGAAACGAAGTCATTTAGAACGTTTTAGAGCCTAAACAGTAGTGTATAGGATTTCCTAATAGCGCCCCCATGCGCGCTCACGATTCTACGGAAGCCGGCAGACCAAACTAGCGCATTCAGCTCGGCAAAGAACTCATGCTCTTCCTCAACACTGAAGTCCTCAGACATTTTTCTTTCGTTGTTTCTTTCTTTGCACAGGTAAACAGCACATTTCTTCTTCTACGCTTGCATTATCGGCAGACCAGACGCTGAATGCGCACTTCCTTCCGGTTTGGTCTGCCGGCTTCCGTAGAATCGTGAGCGCGCATGGGGGCGCTATTAGGAAATCCTATACACTACTGTTTATGCTCTAAAAACATTCTAAATGACTTCGTTTCGAGTAAATTCTGGATGCTACCCACTCAGGACACTTGGATTACATTGGACGAGCAGTATGGAGGAATATTGACACGTTTTTGTGGACTTTTATGGACCTTTCTGTCTCGGGCGCCATGGACCTCCATTATTTGAATGTCAGCAGACAGCAAGAAGCCTCCCAGATCTCCAGATGCATTTGAGATATCAAAAAAGTACTCCAGAGTGTTGTTCAGCATGGAGGTGAGTAGAAAATGAAGGCTAATCATGTTTTGGGTGTACTATTCCTTTAAGAAATTTTAATCTTACAGTGACACCACCCCCTCCAAAAAAAGAAAAAAAAAAAAAATATATATATATATATATATATATATATATATATATATATATATATATATATATATATATATATATATAAACTTTGGCAACCTTTATTCCCTAAGGTGGTATGTGGCTGAATTTCTACTTCACCGCAGTAAGAAAAAAACACACAAACAAAAAAAAAAAACAGGTGTTTTGTATCGGCCTGTAGAACAATGCACATACCAAATGGCTCACAAGAAGTGACTGTGGATAAGATGACTGCATTGGCATGTTGCTCCACAGGCGCAGGGTGTCGGGGTTCTCCGGTAGGGCGTCAGGGCGACATGGCATTTAGAACGTCGGACAGCACTTCTGAAAAACGAGATTGGGAGATCCCAGATGCAAAAAAGTGCAATGTTGCGAGGAGTTTTGTGATATCTGGTATTGCGTGGGTCCTCCTTGTGGCTGGCTCCAAATCCATTCGGAGTTCCCCCAACAGCTCCAAAATGGCAATGCCGGATAAACGATATGTTTTGATGATCGTTTCCTCGTTCATTCCAAAAATATTCACACGGAGTGAAAAAATGCGTTCTCTGCGTCTCATTGCTTCATTTCGATGTCTCCTTCTTGCGACAATAACCGCTGCCATGTGTGCGCAATTACGCATACAGACCATTTGCACCTTCTTTTGAAACGTGTTAAATATAGAGTCAGATACCGTTAGCAAAATTGCTTTCAGGTTTGATAAATCACTTTGCGAGTGCTAAATTAATATATTTACATGTTCTCCTCCCACAAGACGCACTTTTGCGTGTAAACGCCCTATATTGAATATTCATTGCAGAAAAAGTACTAAATGGATAAGAGGCGCTATTTAGCACGTTTTAAAGACCAAATCCTTTTAGCACGCTGTTGATAGATCAGTTTGTACATTTTTTAGCGTGCGCAGTGAAATAGCTCCCGTTTTAATACACGCAAACCTTTGATAAATCCGGCCCATTGTGGGGAAACATAGTTTACAATAATTTCATGAAATGTGAGTTTGTTTGGCTTGGTGTGGTGTCTTAAAAGACTACAAAAAGAAAAGTGAACAGTCACTTTAATAAAATACTAAAATGTGATAGTTAAAATTTGCATTTGTACTCTGCAGATTGAACAAAAATACTATATGTATGTCTAAAAGTTTTTCTGTAAATGCTTTATGCAGTATTTAATTTTAGCCTTGAAATCATATTGTGTAGAAAAAGTGTTTGGAATGTGAATCAGGTTAATAATACAAAACATGCATTGAATAAACACATCATTGTGAATCATTTGGACCACAGCAGACAACTGGTTGATGACACCAGTCAGTTAGCAAATGTATTGCATAATGATGGTGAATGAGCTTAATTCAATAATACAGCTTCTCTGAAATCAGACCATTGGTGAAAAAAAAAAAAGAAAAAGAAAAGAAATTCTAGTCGGCCAGAAGCTTTTAAAGTGTGAAATGGTTCCCTGTTGTTGCTGCAGAACACTCAGACCCATTGTTAAACCGGAGAGATGATAGCAAATCAATATGTTTGGGTTGTTGTTATCCAACCAAATATTGGAGATCTCATGACAACATTTAGTCACATTTCTCAGAACTCCCCTTTGTGACATACCGCTGTTATTAAGTTTAACATTGTTCAAAATAAAAAAATGTAAAGCACCACATTAAGAAGCATACGCTCAGTTGTCAGTATTAATACCATATTAAACTGGTTCCTTTAGTTCTTTGCTTGAAGCATTCTTTTTGCAGGGTGTAGTAATGATACAATATACAACTTGATTCAGTTTTAAAAACCAGATTTTTTTTTTTTTTTTTTTGCACTACTGTGAATGTTCTTTAATGCATAATATTTTTAAATTAAATACAGTATAAAGAAGTAAAAAAAAAAATCCAACTAATTTTCAAAAATTCTTTACGTAACCAGTCACAAGTTTCAGAGAAATCACAGTTTTTAGGAGCCATCGGTGCATCTCTGGCATCGTTCTGGCTGGATATTTTTAGTACTCCTCTTATCAGAAATGAGCCTGTGAGTAACTGTAGTGGTTTCCTGGCTGAGTCTGAGATTTTTTTTCACCCATAGTCTCTAATAGGAGGGACAGAACAATTTCAGATTCCTAATGTTAATCTTCTTTATCTATTCTAAACCAGTCTGGTATGTTTGGAGATACCTTCCTGTCAAAATGAGGGAAACTGCTTAACTGATGATTTTTTAGCAATATAATCAAATATAATTAAACTGTGACTTAAAAAAGAAAATTAGATATGATTATCAGGAATAATTCAGGAGCTACCAAGCAGATTGAAAAATAGAGTGTGCTACTAGGGTGATGTGTCCCTTATATTATTAAATAATCATCACGGATTGAGAGTGTGCTTTTAAATAAACATCTACAAACTTGGCTGAGATCAGCATCTGTCCTCATGCCTGGTGTTTAGTCATAAATAAAGGTATAATGAAGGATGTTCTTTTTCCGGGTGGATCATCACAATAACTGGTCCTCCTAGTTGTCAATCATTTGGTGATATGTTTACGTAAGGTCTTCCTACGTGCTCGTCCCCATTTTCACTTACATAAGTGAGTCTGACATAAACGGAAATATTACAAATTCTTCTTTTGGAAAGTAAGCTTGTATGAGTATGGAGAAATAGATTTGTGCATGGTCTCACACTCGTTTAATAGGCGTTCCCTCTCGGGAGCAGGTACAGGGTTGTGCATGTGCATTGTTTTTGAAAAGTGGAGAGGGCGGGTCTTTTAAAAAATTTGCGAAAATCCCCCACTGTACCTTTTGTGAAGTCCAGTTTTTAAGACTAAAAACATTGTACAAACTGTCAAGCATGATGGTGATATTTTATTGCATTACCTTCTAATGTTGACACAATCTGTCAACAACATAGCGATGCCAAGCACACTTAAAAATGGCTTCGGGAAAAAACTAAAATGAGAAAAGCCATTGAAGATTTGTGGACAATAGTTACAAGCCTTATCTATGCCTGGAAAACAACACTTTCAAAGCTTATCTGCTATTCCTATTTGGAAGTGTGATCATATTTCCAGCCAGAAATGTGAAGAAGCTTGGTGCTGTTTCCAAAAAGAATTTTTATCACCGTGTGAATAATTTTGGCCCTCTGGAGATCAGAGAAAATCCCCAAATTCTAACTTGAGCCCCAAAGTCTTGTATGTTTTATCATAGTGCTGCTAAACAAAAAAGAGGTTATAAAGAGATCAGTAAAAACTCAGAAATAACAGGGAATTCCTGGCAATGATGTGTAAACATCTGAATAGACCTACATTCCAGTATGTGTGTAATGGTGTCTAATAGTTGTGTGCTGTTTATTTTAAGAACAAAAAGGCATGTCATCTTATTTGTAAAGCGTGCAGAAAGCTTTTTCTCCTTTAGTTTCATGTTCTACTGGATGTCCTTGAATGTTGTGTGGCTGGCATAGAAAAGCCAGTATTTGCCAGGTTGGGGGGGGGGATACTTCACATCTTTTATGGAGGTGTGTTTCTGGCTGCTAATGTTCTTTGCCTCCTCCTCCTTGTCAAACGAACAAACACCCACACCGCCCACGTCCAGCTGAAACTCAGCACCTCGTCTCCATGGATATAGATTCACACACCATCAAAAAATACAAGCACTTAACCCTATCTCTGTGCTGCATACGCTCTGTGCTGCATAAGGGTGTGCAGGGAGGAGCATGCACTTCCCTCCTCCAGCTGCTTTCCAAAGCAACTCGTAATTTACGTGCAAAGAAAAGAGCTTCATGAAAAGAGTCACATCTCTACCTCTATGCTTCATCCTGACAAAAAGCTTTCTTCGTGAAAGTAATTGTTAGAAGGTAAAAACGGAGGATGTCAGAGATGACCATTCATCATTCTCTTTTTATTTTACTGTTATTTGTAAAAGTAAATGTTTGGGTTGGTGTTTGCAGGTGATATATCATAGGCTCCAAGCTCAGCAGGTCAGGAAATATCATTGACAATTAAATATATCATTGAGTATTACATCCCAAAGCTTTCTGTATGTTGTATGGATTTTATATAATTAATTAAAATAAGAATAAAAATTTCCTTACTATAGCATCATACAAATCCCATTAAAACAAATCAAGGGTGTGGTTCTGACTTAAGATAGGCTGTTTTTCTGGGTCTTAAACTCTTTTCTTTTTAAGGAAGAATAACCAAAGTATGCAAAGAGCTGATTTGTCTGTGATTTTTATGGTTGTTTTTTTTAGAACAAACTTGGAAGCTTTGCAGAAAAAGCTGGAGGAGCTTGAGTTGGACGAGCAACAGCGAAAACGCCTTGAGGCCTTCCTGACACAGAAGCAGAAAGTGGGGGAGCTGAAGGATGACGACTTTGAGAAGATATGTGAGCTAGGTGCAGGCAATGGAGGAGTTGTTTTTAAAGTCTCACATAGACCCTCTGGTCTGATCATGGCCAGGAAGGTGAGCTGGAAGTACCAAGTTAAAGTAAAAGATGTTATTTTGAAAGATATGTGCAAAACAGTACTCTATAGATCCCATATTCAGTAAACAAGTTTCTATTAATTGATTATATTTATTTCACCTCATAGGAACTTAAAATAATGAATCATAATCATTAGGACTGCAAATAACGATCATTTTTCTTATCAATTAATCTGTTAATTATGTTTTTCGACGAAATCGTTAATAATCATGTAGCAATATTACCTTAACTAAAGCTTTCCTACTTGAGGATACTAAGAGATCATATTCACGGACCAAGAGATTTTTTTTTTATCTTAAATGCAAAATGTTTATATATTTTTTTTGCAATTGGTATAATCACTGCTCTGAGTGGGTCGCCCTGTCAGCTAAAGCCATGTTTTCGAGTCTCTGTACTTCAGTTAACAATTAATCCATTACTAAATTGGTGGACGATTATTTCAATAATCGATTGATCATGACTAATCCGATAAATTGTTCCAGCTCTAATAATCATAATATATGTAATCATGTTTGGAAACATTTGCCTCCTGTGTGCTTTGATACTCTCAGTAACTCTCCGTATATAGAATAGAATAGAATAGAATAGAATTCAACTTTATTGTCATTGCACTGTCACAAGTACAAGCAACGAAATGCAGTTAGCATCTATCCAGAAGTGCTATACAGGAACAGGTATATGTATGAAAATCGATTTTGTAAACATAAAACCCTTTTTTTCCCCATTTTTGTAGCTGATGCACACAAATCCTAAAGACAGAAAACCAACAAAGCATCTTATCTGCCTAAATGAAAGTCAAATAAATGAACAATTTAAATTTAAAATTGAGCTTTTATTGCTTCAAGTTGATGTTTTAATTCTGGAGAAATCATTTTGCTTCTCTCTCAACATCAGCTTCTGCATCATGTCCTTGGGCATTGTGTGAAAGCAAACATTACTCTGACCTGTTACACAAGAACAGCGCTTTTTTTCATCAAGCACCTTCAGAGGGGGTTGATGTCTCCTGCACAATACTGTGCTAAACTATTCATACCTGTTGATCCTGTTCACACATTATCATATTAACAGCCTCCTTGTGACACACAGTAGTGCATAATTGGGAAATCTATAGAAAAATACACATTGACATTATTTTACGAATAAAAATGTTAAAAGTATAGAAATTAGTTCAACCTGGCTAAGTTAGCATTTTGTAGATCTACCTTTTGATGCAATTACAAGTCTTTAGGTGCATATCTACAGTACAAAATATCTCAAACTTATTCTGATTTAATATAAAGCCTCCATGAGTAAAATAACATAAAAATGTATCTTTGGAGCATATCTCAGCTGCAATAAATTTCAAAGGGCTTTGCGTCAACATCAGAACAAATGTCCAGTAACATCATTAAAAACATCAATCAAGTAAGCAGCAAATCATCAAACATCAGAATATTCAAACAAAATCTTAAAAACCATCATTCAGAAACATGATAATCATAGGGAGATGGTCAATGCTGAAGATGTTTTCTTTAAAGCAGTTTTTCACCTGGATTTGTTTACAGAATACTAATTAAAAGCATTTCTAAACAGATGGGTTTTCAGCCTTAAATGAAAGCATTTTAGTAGTGACTTGAACGTCTTCTAGCATTTTTTGTTTTTGACACTGAGGATTGGGGTTGTTATAGTACGCTTGTTACAGCATGTTCATTCCCTCAGTTCCAGGTATTACACATTCAGTGAACAAGAACCTTTGCAGTTCACTGAATGTGTGGAAATTTCTCACAATGCACCTGGAAAGGTAGTGATCATCCATGGTCACTAGACGAGTAGATATATCCCAGAATGCTTTGTGAGGAGGTACACTATCGGAAATTTCGACACATTCAATGAACAGCAAAGGTTCCTGTTCACTGAATGTGTAATACCTGGAACTGTGGGAATGCACATGCTATAACAAGCGTAGGTATAACCGAGAGGAAGATTAGCGTGAGGGTAAATACAGAGATCAATTAAGCAAGAAACCCAGTCAAGACCACTGCAACCCTCTACTCTATAACCACAGCTCCGCCACATTACATCACCAGGAGCCACTCAGATTCAATATGCATCTAATTACCAGATAAAATAGTGCATAAAGCATGAAAAATATATATTACACTCACCAGAGATGCTGATTATTTATGAAAAAATCCATCCTTCTGCCTCTGTGCAAGAAGGCTTAGGATCTACATTTAGTGTCAACCTTTGAGGTCAGAAAAACTTTTAACAAAAGAAATCTAAAATGCAGTTTGTGTCAAGCTTAACTTGGCTGTAAAAATTTTTAACTGCCCAATCAGAGTACAGAAAATGCTGCTGTTTGGTCAGCTCACTAGTTGGCCCTGTGGGGCAAATCTGGAATCTGACTGTTTGAAGAAAACATTCTTCATCGATATTGTTAAGGTAACATCAGCTAGCACTCCTGATTCTAAAGGTCCTAGGCAGATTCAGTTGACATAGCAACGCACTAATGCTGAACTCTGATTAGACAAAAAATATAGCAACCACAGAGATGTAATGGAAGTAGCACAGCCAAGAGAACCGCTACACAATTAATAAAGTTGGAGAGAAGAAAATTAAAGTTTGGGTTATTAATGTAGGTTAGCATTTATGATTGGTTTAGAGGCCTCGGAGGCCCTGACCGCCCACCACTGTTGAAACCTCCTGGTATGTCCAAGGTGGCTGTGTGTAAGGTTTACCTCCATCTAGAGGTGCACTAAACAAATTTTAAATGACAGACTAGCGCTTCCTTGTCAAACCTGCAAAAGCTCCTGCAGAAGCCATGGAGTGACTTTTTCTGAATGGAAGGGACATTAGACATTTAAAAATAACTGAAGCTAATAACTGTTGCATTTCTCGTCCTTTAGAAGTTTATCTTACACTGGGGCTAGGGACAGACTAGTTGCTGAAATACACAGCCACAGCGTAGCCAAAATAAACTTCAGTGATGAATTACCTTAGATTTAAACAAATGTTGCATCAAATTAAATAACACCCAAATATCTAAAAGGAGTCTTCTGTCAGACATCTCTCTCTTGACACCTAAATCAAAATGTGTCCATCTGCTCCAGCTGATCCACCTAGAGATCAAGCCAGCCATCAGGAACCAGATCATCCGGGAGCTGCAGGTTCTACATGAGTGTAACTCTCCATACATAGTGGGATTCTATGGTGCTTTCTACAGCGATGGAGAAATCAGCATCTGCATGGAGCATATGGTACTTTCACATTCATAGACTGACATATCTGAGCCTCACATGTATTTCATATAAATACTCCCCATTGCTTTTTTTTTTTTTTCTGGTTTCAGGATGGTGGATCTCTCGACCAGTCCCTGAAGAAAGCAGGAAAAATCCCGGAGGAGATTCTTGGCAAAGTCAGCATTGCTGTGGGTAGCTCCAACACCTCTCCCTCGCATTCTATACATGTCCTGTCTAAGAAAAAATGCTTTTCCACTGATTGTTGTGAGTTAGTAAAAAGTGTATTTTACAAGTGTGTGCTGACGGTCCAAAGTGTGTTTCACAGGTCATTAAAGGTCTTTCCTACCTGCGTGAGAAGCATAAGATCATGCATAGAGGTTTGTTTGGATTCAGTGTTCTACTTTTCTGAACAGAACTTTACTGCAGGCACAAAAACACATGCAAAGGAAAATGGTTGGCAGGAAAAAAAAACTGCAAGTTAAGAAAGGCTGCAAATTAGTACACCGCATTATGAATAGGCTCCAGACCATTAGGGGGCAACAATCACTAACTCATATGGGATTCAACCCTTAATAAAGGCATAAATAAGGTCCTCAGATAGATTAAGACTGCCTCCAATATATATCAAATTTTAGCTACTATCCCTTCACATTTCACAGGGTCAACAGTTACAAATATCCTGAAAAGGAGCTCTGGACTGCTGTGCAAACCTGGACTGCCTTTAGCCTTATTGATGTCCTCATGCAACAGTTACGGACATGCATGTCGAATTGGGGCGGTCACCATGTGAAGCTCTTTATTAAAAAAAACCAAAACATATGAAGATATGCACTATTTCCATGTGTGACACATAGTACATGTCACAAAATTATGAATTCATGTTCAGCTTCATGAGGTGGGTTATGCTTATTCTAACACAGGATTGTGGGAAACCTAATAGCTCCTATGCAGCAGATACTGTAGGAACACTTCGGAGAGGTTTCTGTGCTAAATGAACTATCATTAGGAAGCATCCCGCTTCCTCTTCTTTCCTCCTTCCATCATGATGACCGCTTTGGCTAAAGTTTGCTTACCAAATTGCACTATTCAGAAGCAGCCTTTGGTAAAAAAAAAAAAAGCATTTTAAAAAACATCTTCCTTTCCCTCCAAATGTCCTCTGAGATGACAACTCACCTGGTCCATAGGAATTTGCATAGTTTGAATTTAGGGGCTGCGTCCTCTGAAGGCCAGAGTCATTGGCCAATTATCTCATAGCGCAGCATAGTGGAAAAACTAATCCATGCTTTTATTTTTAGTCGAATTGATTATTGCAACGGTGTTTTCACAGGACTGCCTAAAAAGTGGATCAGACAGCTGCAGCTGATCCAGAACGCTGCTGCCTGTGTCCTCACTAAGACTAAGAAAGTAGAGCACATCACCCCAGTTCTAAAGTCCTTACACTGGCTCCCTGTATCTCAGATAATAGACTTTAAAATACTTCTGTTAGTCTATAAATCTCTGAATGGCTTAGCACCTAAATACATCACAAACCTGCTATTAGTGTATCAACACCTCCAGACCACTCAGGTCTTCTGGCTCCAGCCTGCTCTGCATACCTACACTGCAAAAAATATAAATCTCAATAAGTTATTTTTTCTTAAAATAAGTGCATTTTTCCTTGATTTGAGGAGGTAAGTAAGACACTTTGCCAATGGAACAAGACAATTTCCTTTTAAAATAAGAAAAAACTATTTTATCGTCTTATTTGAAGTAAATATTATCTAACTATCTTATTTTAAGAGTGAAAATACTCATTCCATTGGCAGATCATCTTATTTAACTGCTCAAATTAAGGCTAAATATACTTAATTTAAGCCATTTTTTACTGGATTTATTTCTGGATTGTTTTTGCAGTGTAGAACCAGAATTAAACATGGAGAAGCAGCAGCATTTAGTTCCTATGCTCCATTTATCTGGAACAAACTTCCAGAAAAATGTATAAGTGCAGAAAGCCTGAGTTCCTTTAAATCAAGAATAAAAACACATTTGTTTAGGATTTCCTTCGACTGTTCTAGTTAAACAGTTCAACTAAAATATCATTAGTTCAACTTTTTAATTTTCTTTAGTCCAACTGTTTTTAATATTCTTTTTTGTTTCTGAATTTTTTATTTTAGTTTTTTTTTTCCTACTTGCTTTGATTCCGTTTTATTTTAATCGTGTAAAGCACTTTGCATTGTCTTTGTACTGAATTGTGCTATACAATTAAATCTGACTTGCCTTGCCTAGTGGCTGGATTGGAAAACTCCTTGTTATGCGGCCGTCAAATGCAGCCTTTTTTTTTATGGATGGGAAGTGAAAGCCGGGGAAGGCTGGCCCTGCTTTGAATTCATACTCTTCCTCAAAGGACTGAGTCCAGATAGACAGGGTCCCTTGAGGATGCAGTCACTGAAATCTAACACACCCATTTATTCATTTGTTTATAATGATCTCCCTCTATTGGTCTGGAGCATGTATGTTATGCAAAGCTAATTTCCAGCTTTTCTTTACTTGCAGTTGTTTTTTATAACAGCATTTTTCTTTGCATGTGTTAATAGTTTTATGTCCTACCCTGCTAACATGAAACAATTGTGTGCAGCATGTTTTCACTCTGCTGCTATTTTCTGATTGCAACATTTCTCCTTTTCAGCTTTTTTGCTTTGCATGTGATTTTTGTGTTGGTCTGATTTTTGTGTTAGCTAGTCTAATTTTTGTTTATGGGCCTTATTTTACTTTTTGTATTAGCTGCACAGTTATGTATTTGCATAATTTTTTTCAACCCTCAGTCACTGTAGAAATTAGAATTATTACAGAGGCGCTGTCAGTTAGAAATGCAGGGTCTTTTTTACATTAATTGTTGAAAACAAGTATATATAATAGGATTTTATACTAGCAAAAATTGATCAAACAGTTTGGCAACTGCTCAACAAAGGAAGACAATAATAACACAATCTCAGATTACATTTTGGGGAAAACAAATTCAAATAAAGCACTGAATTTCAATGAGAAATACAAAGTTTAAACTAAGTGTCCCATGTTCACATTTCTAAAAGTCCTCTGTAGGTTTAGATAATGTTAAAGGTATAAATACAAAGGTCACATTAACTTATGGAAAATATTTCTATGGATGGATGCAGACAAACTTTAGAGTTCAAGACTATGTACGCAGCCAACATATAAAATAATTTACAATGCATGAAATAATACTTGGAAGTATAAAATAATAAAATGATGAGAATGATGATGGAGAATCATCATCTCTACACTACGGATTAGAAATAGATATCCTAATCCATTGAGGTTTTAATTACTTTATTATTTGTATAGATAGATAGATAGATAGATAGATAGATAGATAGATAGATAGATAGATAGATAGATAGATAGATAGATAGATAGATAGATAGATAGATAGATAGATAGATAGATAGATAGATAGATAGATAGATAGATAGATAGACAGACAGACAGAAGACTGAGACATAAAGGACAACTGCTTTTATGTCATAATTTACAAAAATGATTAACAAAATTGTATGATATATGCAATTGTTATTTATAAAAAAAAAAAAAAAGATCTGCAGCACTTTATTCATGGCTGCTCATTTGTCACTGTTGACAGCTACATCTGATGGCTCTCTTTCAGATGTCAAGCCTTCTAACATCCTGGTGAATTCCCGTGGTGAGATCAAGCTGTGTGACTTTGGAGTGAGTGGACAGCTCATAGACTCCATGGCCAACTCCTTTGTGGGCACTCGATCTTACATGTCGGTGAGTTCAGAACACAAAGCAGCTCTCATATCACTGCTCCAGAAATTATTATCATAGAATTAATATTTGCTGTTCAATGTAACTGATTAAATCTAATGTTTATTTTTCAGCCTGAGCGTCTACAGGGCACACACTATTCTGTTCAGTCAGACATCTGGAGCATGGGTCTGTCCCTAGTTGAAATGGCCATCGGGCGCTTCCCTATCCCCCCACCTGATTCCAAAGAACTGGAGCAAATCTTCGGATACCCGGTGGAAGGAGAGGCAGCCCCCAGCGAGTCCTCTCCAAAACCATGCCCCCCTGGGCGTACGGGCAGTTGTAAGTAGAACACAGGAGCGACCAATCAAGTTGTTTAAATGTTTTTCTCTGCCAAATTTAATCTTAACACATAGTTATTTTCCTTTTTAGCTTATGGACCAAACAGCAGACCACCCATGGCTATATTTGAGCTGCTGGATTATATAGTCAATGAGGTAAGTATGTCTGTTTTATTCTGTGTCATATGATCATTTGCTGTCCTTTATCCTAACATAATTTTTTGTTTTAGCCTCCACCAAAGCTCCCTGGAATATTTAGCACAGAATTCCAGGACTTTGTGAATAAATGGTAAGTAATAGAGAATTTGTTTTTTTTTTTTTTTACACTTACTGTTATGAAAATCAGCATATTTAACAGATTTATAACACATCTGCCATTCAAAGCATAATCCTGCTTTTTGTTTTTTTTTTTACGGCAGCCTGATTAAGAATCCTGCAGAGAGAGCAGACTTAAAGCAGTTGATGGTAAGTGATCATGCAGACATTTAAACCTCCACTTATTCTTTAATATTTATTCTTTAACCTTCCCTTTTCAGGTGCATCCTTTTATCAAACAGTCTGAGGCAGAGGAGGTGGACTTTGCTGGCTGGCTTTGCAGCACCATTGGACTCAGTCAGCCTGCAACACCAACACATGGCACCAGTATGTGAGACTGTCCATTGCAAAGCCATAACTATATATGACCTTTGATTGATCTTTATTCTTGATAAGTGTTTTGATTTTAAGCAGTTGGTCAAATGTTTAAGTTTCAGGTGCATCTCAAGACATTCTAACCTGAAGTTTATTCAGTGCGGTGTTTGCATAAATTGTAGACTGATTACACACAAGTTTATTTTAATGCACTTTATTCTGGTAAGCAATAAGGCTTACAGCAAAACTGAGCTTTTTTGCCAAAACGAAATTAATCATATACCTAGAAAAGTGTATTTTATCACAGACACGGCTACTTTCCAAAGATATATCCATGATGTGTAGAGTGCATTGGTTGGTGTGGTGCCTCTATACTTCATCTTGACACTTCTATAGATTATCTGAGAGGTTAAATTCAGTTTTTTAATCAATTAACTTACTGACACATATAGGTATGGCTTGTTCGCCGGCTAGTCAAACAGCGATAATACAAATTAATGCAGTTATTTTTTCAGACATTGGCCTGTTGGAAAATTAAATCATTTGTTAGCTGAAGGAAGCATGAAATGCAATGATGTGCTCTACTTTTTTATAGTGAGAATGCGGGCAGCAGCATTCTTGATTTACATCAGAGCAAATTTTAAATGTAGAGCTTGCATTTTTCTTCAACTATTTTATCTAGTCTCCTTTAGATGTCTTAACTTGGACTTCGGCTTTTTATGGCCTTCATTTAGTTTTTTGCTAGTTTTTAACTTGTCTTCTCACCAGAAACAACCTCCGGGATACATTATTTGGCTCTGGCACACCTTACGATTTTCCCCTAGGTCTTTCTACCAAACAATTTATTTTGCTTTGCAGAAATTGGATCGGTACGACCCCTGAATATCCAGCTGTCAAAGTTAGAAGTAAACTGACAGCTTCTCCTTTTAGAAGTCCTCTGTGACAAACGAAAATGCACAGAAGCTGTCGTTAGAAAATATAATTTTAGCCCTTTAAAGCCAAGTGTATCATATTTGATACACTCAGTGTGTGAGTGTGTGTGTGAATGGGTGAATGAATGTAGTGTAAAGCGCTTTGGTCAGGTCTCCTAACTTGAATAAAGGCGCTATATAAGTACATGCCATTTACCATTTACACGTGTGTATTGAGACCTCTGCATCATATGAGGTTTGTTCTTGAAAACAGATTTAAACAGACATGTAGTTAACAGATGTATGATTTACAGAATTGCCTAATTTATCAATCGAAGCAAATAAATGAATTATATTTAAACTTGTCAAAAAATTTAAATATCTCCAATTAAAAATGGCTTTAAATAGACCAAAAATAAAATCTGGAAGAAATTTCAAAGAATTTGCTTAAATTGGGTTTGCAAACACTTGAGATGCACCTGAACTATTTAGTACACTGAACATACATGCAGCTAACCCTCCTATTATAACAAATGTTACCTCAGGGCTCAATCTTTTCTGGGGCATTTTTTAAGTACATGAATGACCCATGTGACAAGGAGTTATTGACCTACCCTCTAGCACCACCATCAGGACAAAACTAAATTGTAATAACATACCAAACCATCACTTTTTAGTTTAGGTCTCCTTCCTTCATGAATACAATTACCAGTTTTAAACATTGCCCATCCCATGAGTAAAATATTTGAGGGTGTAAGAAAGCTCAGAGGACTCAACATGGTCATCGTAAGTTGGGGCTTTAAACCATTTTGATATTGGCTTTGACTTTTCTGCCATTGCTGTGAAGAAAGGGGCTGCCATGATCAAAACTACACCCCTAGTGCAAGTTTGAGAAAATAACTTCAAATTTGTAACTTGAGAATGTCTACTAAAAACAGCTTGGGATCACATCAACAATCTGCTCAGCAAATGTAATTCCATGCTAATCAATTGTGAAAAGGCATGGAATAGGTGGTTATAAGGGGTCAATTAATAGGAGGGTTAAATATGTACTGGACAACTGCTTAGGTCTCCTTTACAGGCCTGATTAAAAAGCCATCTTTTTGTAATGATCCTGTCTTGTAAAATAATGCTGCTAAAACTTTTTGCTCTACCTTCTCCTGAAGTCATGTACAGCCCAGCTTTTCTGTCAGTATAAACTCTGTATGAAACCCACATCCTGCAGCATCAGGCATGGATAATAAGCTTGCTGTACATATCAAGTTAGCCAGTGGATATTTATATTCATAAATCCTTATGCTAACTGTTATTTGGTCCCCCCTTTCCTCAATGCTTAGTTGAGTGGCATTTTTATTGTGAATAAAGTGGTTTCAATAATACTTCGGACTCATGGATTTGAAACGTCTCGTTTATTTCACTGAACTCCAGTCTGTATAGATTTATGCCTTAGGTTTAGCAGGTGCTTTCTTTGCAGGCCTCTTCTTGGGTTTCAGCATCTTAGCCTTGATCTGTGAAAAAATTAAAACCAATTAGTCAGACTGCACTGCACGTTTCATTGCCATCTTCTCTTTTTAACAGTTCTTACAGTAGGGTCGTGCTTTAGGATGGCATGACGTCTTGCAGTCTTGGCGTAAGGGTTCAGTTTGAGCATGATCTTCAAATTCTTCAGAGGATTCTTCTTCAGTACTCTGCGGCTGATCTTCTTGCTGCAATTGCAAGTAACAAAGTTATGCTGATGCCTGGTTGATGCTGAGGAAAACGTGCAACTCTTCTAATTGCTCAGGACTTCCAAAAATAATCAGGGGTCAGAAACACGGACCAGAAGTGAATCATCATCATAGCTGAAACATGGCAACACACACCACAAAAGGGAGGTACATACTTAGGTGCACGAAGTGCTTTCTGGACCTCCTCGCTCTTCAAAATCCTGCTCAGATCTGTGTTTGTCATTTTGTGCATTGGGAGCCTGAAAGGAAGAAACAAATAATCAAAACCCAACAAGAAACAAATGACAACTTAGACAAACCTAATTTTGAACCAACTCAGAACTTCTTTACATATCACAGATTTCAAAAACACGGACCATGAAGTGGAAGCTCATCACTGAGATACATGTGCGACATTTACACAGCTGTACAAGTGCATCTTCATTTTTTCCACAATACTCCATTAGATGCACCTGTAAGCATTGAAGTTTCTCTAAAACTCACTTGTAATCAACCTTGAGAGAGGCTGGTTTACGCCAGGTGCCATACAGCTCGTCCAGCTTACGGAAAGCACTTTCTGTCCAGATGCAGAACCGTCCAATGTGACCACCAGGAGCCAGTCTCAGAAGGTTCAGTTTGTTCACGTTCTGCAGAGTAATGCCTACAAAAAATAAAAAAAAGGTCAATTTGATTCCTTATGTTTGGTATAAAGCAAATTAATTTATGTCCAATACAGAGGTCCACTGGTAAGTGGATCCCCATTATTGGATCATTTTATTTCTGTCACCGCTAATTAAGACATTGGAGTCAGTAGTGTATTTGAAGCGCTAAAACTCACCTGGAATATTCCTGAAGGCTTTGGTTAAACCAGCGTCTTGGTTGTAGACGATACATGGCCCTCTGCGTTGGATACGTCTACGGTTCCGCATTTTACCCTTACCAGCACGCATACGCTGAGAGGCATACACCTGGGAACAGATCAATTAGATCAACTGAGCTAAGGAGTTGAAAAATATATAAATGCAAACCAAATCTGAGCCACAAGACAATTTGATTTCATAATTTTAAATGAGCTTTTAATATTCAAAACTTTAGTCACAAGAATTAAATCTGGGACAATTCTTCCCTTAACAGAACTAATTTGTCTCCGTGTCAGAAAGACTGAACTAGAACAATTTTAGAATCAAAATTTCCATTTAGCCTTAAATCAGTTTTATTGCATTGTAAGGACAATACACAGAAACCCAAGAATTAGGTGTTGTACTTGGCAACCAGAATGAAATCTTTAGCTTACCTTCTTGATGTCATTCCAGGCTTTGAGCTTCTTCAGCAGCAGCACAGCCTCCTTAGTCTTCTTGTATCCCTCAACTTTGTCGTCAACCACCAGTGGAACCTCAGGGATCTCCTCAATGCGATGTCCTAGGTATCAAAAGGTTCTGTGTAATCACTGAAGCACCAACTGTGGAAGTGACTAATGTCTAAACTTGCTCAGAATTTATCAATCATCAATACCCTGTGATGGCTTAATGACAGCAGGCAACTGTCACCAATCACAAGATCAGACGCAAATTACACCATCACAGCAAGAAACATGTTTAAGAATTTGACAACTCAAGAATTAAAGCAGCAGTTAAACTTACCCTTGGACATCACAAGAGCAGGGAGTGCAGAAGCAGCCAGAGCAGAGCAGATGGCGTAGCGCTTCTGGGGTGTGTTGATCCTGCGGTGCCAACGACGCCAGGTTTTAGTGGGAGCAAACATGCGTCCACCACGACACATCTAGGCCCAAGTCAAGGGTTGTCTACCACTTAAGTAACAAATATTTACCCATCCAATACCTGCTCAGACTCAATATTCACCACCCATCTGTGCTAGCCTATGACAGCAGGCATTCTGTCACTAGTCACAGAGTAAGACGCAAATTACACCATCACGGCAAGTCTGGGTTTAGCTCCTAAAAGCGAGTAAATGAATGAATTCCTTTACAAGCAAGGATACGTTTCCAAAAGCACCCTGACCAGAGCGGTGAGTACCACCACCTCTCACACGAGGGATACGGGCCACAGCTCTTCCTGTTCCCCAGGACTCTGCGCTCGTCTGGTGGCCTAAAATATTCAATATATAGAGTTAGAATAAGTAGAGGTCTGCAACTCAATATCAATATATATAAAAAAAACTGTTCCATATTTGCCAGTTTGTTTGGCAACAAGGGTTTGGTTTTCTTTTTTGTGGTTAAGTGACAACATGGATGATGCTCAGACTTTGTTAGAAACAGTTAAGTATGCAATTTGCACACATTAGAGAACCAATTAGGACTGAGGTTGATCATTTCTTTTATCAGTGATAAAGGTACAAAATGTGAAAAGTATAAATTGACAAACTTCTTCCATTTCTAATACAAAATAAAAAAATAAAAGCTCAAATGCATACCTGCCAGCTCGCTGACCGCATATGGCTGGCGGTTATTTTTGCGCATGTTGGTGTGCACAAATCTTACAACATCAGGGCGAATAGGAGCCCTGAAGACAGCGGGCATAACTACATTTTTGCCTGATGATTCTCCTTTCTCGGAATACACCGAGATAAGCGGTCGGGCACAGGCCTGAAAGTGCAAAGACAAAAAAAGTAATGAAATACATGACCTATATGGAGAGAAGAGCATTTATTTGCTGAGAATCACATCTTTTCCAACAAGTGTTAAAAAGCACATCTTCTAGTCCATGCCATGCTTTTTCATTACAGGAACAAATTGATATACAATAAATTTATTTATTCTGAATTTAAAAATGTTAACTGTGGAAAACAGTTTGAATTTGTTAATGAGAGATGAAATGTAGGTACGTGTATGAGAACATAACTCCATTCGCCTGTGTTACCAACAGGGGATAATTATACCTTTTGGGGGATTAAGGACATTTTGTAATTTTAAAATCCTGACGTGCTTTCACGTCGAGTTGGTTTACATTAATAGGAGATTGCAAGTTGAATGCGTCCATTTGTGTCACATTAGTAATATCGAAAATAAGACTGGTACTAAGAACTATTGTAGCCAGATGATTAATGCTTCAATGGAGCCCAAATTTCTTACAATATCCAGCGTACATCGCACATTTGCCCCATTTTTATGGGCACATAAGCCCTTCAACCAAAGTTTATATACAAACATGGTAGCTCCTTTCCTTGAAAGGAATTTCAATTGTACTTCACATAAAACCTGCTTTTACATGTTTGCCTAATAGGTAACTATGATACATATTTGCATTAACATTCCTTGTTGCATTTTCTGATTCTTTTCATAGTTAAACTACTATTCACCCTTATTGATAGTTATCCTAGCTTCACTTTTCGTGTCAGGGCTCTTAGCCAGTTGTCGACGTGACATCACAAAATCTTCACTTCAGTCGAGCACAAACTACACACGGTCTAGATTCTTCAGTATCATTAATAAGCGTGTGTCGAAACAATTAAAACCACGATTAACGACATTTAAAAAGCAAAGATAGCCGCTGCTGCAATAGACAACACGTGTTACTCGGCGTAACCAGTCGTTCAAAATGGCTCCTCGTGTTAGCTTACTAGCGCCTAGCTTCCAACTCCGTTTTTACTTTCTAACAATCATAGCTTTTCTACGAGGTAAACTAGCAGATAGTCGACTAAATAGGTACATCGAGTATTGACATATGTGTCCTGGAACTCGTGTAAAGAAATTTGTCAGGGCTTGCTCACCATTTTCGATATATTTTTCGGCTCGCCGGGAACCACGCTCCTCACGGTATGGCGGCCACAGTAAAAAGGAAGTTGATGCTTCAACCCAGATCCTTTATGCCTCCGCGCATGAGAACGCTACTTCCGGTTAGACTATTTTGTCCACTGCACGAATTTTATTCTTCAGCTTACCTAAATGAAAAAAAAATGTATTACAAAAAATCAACTAATGGTTTCTAGATGTTTAAATGGAAATATAACGACTTAAAATAGCTTTTCATTTGTTATCGATGTTGGAACTATTTTTTCTCACTCACTGTTGGCGCCGTGTCTTACAGTGTAAGCGGAAATCCGAACTACTTAACACTTCTACGTTTCTATAAAATGAAAATAAAATGTAAAAAAAAAAATATCTTGCCTATATAAAAAAACGAAAAAAAACTTCTGGATTTAGACTAACATATTTTTTATTTATTTAGTGAATTAACTGCTCTTTCGTGGATTGTGACCCCTGAACCCGTGTCGTCACCGTCTAACTGAGCGCGCTGGGATAATGGAAATAAAGGAAGACATTTATATAGGATACAGCAAAAGGTGGGAGAAGAAGAGCCTCTTGGGAAGAGCAGGAGAGAACAGGGGATGTTTAGTAGAATTAGGTTAGGCCACACGAGGCTAAATGCATCACTGCATGTTATTGGGAAGCATCCAACAGGAAAATGTGACATGTGTAGTCAACCAGAAACCATAGAACATGTGCTGTTTGAGTGTATTAAATATGCAAGTCAAAGAATAGATTTAAGGAAAGGACTGGAACATGAAGGAATCAAACAACTGGACATTAAAAATATCTTCTCAAATAAATCCAGAAAGACAGTACTTAAAATCATGTCATCTTATCTTCAACAAACTGGACTAAACCTAAGGATTTAAGGAAATATAAATAAGAACAAGTAGGTGGCGATAATGCTCCATTTGGTTGCAAGTCGCCAATAAAACAAGAAGAAGAAGAAGAACTGAGCGCGCGGTTGTCAAACGCAAACAATAGTAATAAAAAATACTTTCTTCCACTATATTTGTAAGACATTTTAACCCGTAACCCGATTTTTCTGTAGTTCGGAAATGGGGTCGAAGGTCGTATCTAATGCCAAGGAGTTTTGCAGTCTTCTTAGGTAAGTTTTGTTCCGCAGTTGTTATCAGGTAGAAAAGGTCTTAATCGTTATTTTTGTTTTTTATATAGTTTTAGCTTTTTATGTTAATTTTATGTTTTATGTTCAGATCTTTTCAGGATGACAAAAGCAGGAATTCATGCACATATGAGGTACTTTCAGTTCAAATTGCTTTTTTGTATCATAATGAGAAACCCAGTTTTACTCCATGTTAACCTTACTATGTATACAACTTTGATTTACAGGAGGAAATTCATATTATAAAGTCGACCGGAGACAAAATTACCGCTGTGAATTTTTACAGTGCCAACCAGACAATCTTTGTCTGCGAAAAAGATGTAGGTTTACTTATATTTATTTCTTCTAGTTTACAGGTTGGTCTTAATAATGATAGCTGAAAGTATGAGAGAAATACGTTAAATCCATTTTTTTGTATTTTTTAGTAATTTATAAAATTATATGAAGTGATTTTCTCATACAACAAGGGTAACAAACAGTACTTTACAAGACTACACATAGAAAAACAGATCTGATCAGCAGGAAAAGAAAGAAATATGCTAAGCATTAGAAAAATGACATTGGTGTTTATTTACAGAAAAAAAACACCATTGTGTAATGATAAAAAGCTAATTGAATGTTACAAAAATCATTTCCACAATTCGGATTAAATAAAAATCTAACTAAAACGTTATAATTTATGTTCTACCTTTTTAAATAGTTTGACGTCTCAGATTTTTTTTTTAAATCACCATAGCTTTCTTTTTGTCTCTTCAACTGAAATAAAAAAAAAATATCCAAAGGCCCAATTCTCTTAACTTCTTAAAGAATGTGATGACAAAAAAAATCATGTTATTCAGGTAAGGCAGAGATTTTTAAATGTCTGTTGTTTGATGTTTAAATGAGGGCAAAGTAAAACGAATCCATTAGCAACTCTGTTGCTTTTGAATATACACAGAGGTAGGGATACATAGAAGTCAATGCTGTATAAGGACATTTTGTCCTCACTTGCAGAATATTTTGACTTTTTTTTAGGTACCAAACATAAGTGGACTTGTTGATGAGCTGAACACAGAGACATCCAACTGTTCAGGGGACAATGACGAAGACCATTACGATGTCTTCCAAAAGGAGCAAGGATCCCAGCCACTTACAGTCATCAAAGCTAGGTGAGCAGCAGTACAATGATTACCAATTATTCTATGCAAAGCTGTGTGTCTAAATGTTATTTTCTCTTCCTATAGACAGTTGCTGTCTTTATACACATTATCTCAAAACCCTAGTGTGTCAGCAGTGGACCAAAAACTTATCTTACATCCTCTCTGGGTGCGATGTGACATGGGGGATGCTGAAGGAACTGCCTGGTTTGGTACTGAACCAGTCTGTGTGGGAGGCAAAGTAACAGGGGTCAAATTATATTCTGTTACCTGCAAAGGTGAGCCTCAGAAAAATATATTTTTGACTCTTGAATGAACTATGGTTTATTTGGAAATTTAGTTTATGTGTTCAGGAATGACCTTTTTTACTTTTATAACCCATAAAATCAAATTGGAATTAAAATCCTATTTTTTCCAGTGGAGTTTTGGCCAAGAGACAGCAGCAGATAAAACACATGTGTTACATTGAAAAGAAACTGCAAATTATGAAAAACTGGTTTATGCTATGGAATCAGCCTCAAGAACTTTCAGGCTTAAAAGCAGATGGTAAAATAAATTCAGTTAGTTTTTTAGTTGTTCTGTATCAAGCCAGTGGAGCAAAGTGAACAAAAGCTTTTTTACCAAGTTTGCTCTGACTGTAAATTATCAGTATTTAAACAAAAAAACTGGGCAATAAGGTTAAAACTACCACAGACCAAAAGGAACAAAAAGTCTTAACATTTACCAAAAACATCTTGGTGATCTCCTTCTATTTGAAGTATATTTTGGATAAAAATGCTGTCTGCATGACTTAAACAGGGCTAGTTCATAATAGTTAAAAGTGTACTGTGGTTGACTTAAAGCAATGAAAAAGTAAATAAGCCTATTTTTGGTAACCTATTTTATCTTAATAAATTAAAGAATTATTTAAAAATGTTTTGTCTGGTGTCATTAGTTTATGGTGTAAGGCTTTGGATCTAGATAAATAACATAACACATTTGTAATGCTCTCTATGTAGTGTGTAGGTTTGGTTTGGTCTTTGATGATTTGTTTATCTTTAGGTTCACCAGTGGAAAGAAAATCTTTGTTAACCCTGGAAGAACTTAAACAAGTGCACAGGAATAGATACCCTCGCTCCTCTGTAAGTCTCTGTGGTCATCTTTGCTTCACTGCATGGGCGATTAGCTGGTGACTTTATCTTTGACTGTTTCCAGATCGGGATTAAAGGAACTGCAAGGTTTAGTTTGTTTGGGTCCACCGTTGTGGACAACTCCACCATCGAGTCCCAAAGCAGCATAATGGTGGACTTCAAGTGGAGTCATGTAGAGAGTATTCTTGAGATCCCTCCATTGTCTTCTTCTGCAGTTCTAGTAAGCTCCAGTCAACCACAGTTTTTAGATATTTAAATGAATGATTTCTGGTTGAAATTAATGAACAGTTAAGGATTATTTCCTTTAGATATAAAACTGTCAGTTGTTCAACATTTGTTGACTTTAACATTGTTGTTTTTTTTTCTTTGCAGAATATCAAAGTTGTCTGTGGGGACATGAGAAGCCCGATGTTTGAGATATACAGGGAGCTAGAGTTTCTTCAGGTTTGTAGTTTGTGTTATTTGCGATATTGATACAAGCTTTCTAGTATTGTGCAAAGTTAGTATAGATCTCAGTTTGATTAATTTATATTATCTGTGGGAACAAGCTTTGGCCAGGTCTCTTTGCTTGGCCCATCTATGATTGAGTATTAAAACGTCACATGACTATATTTCATTGTCATCAAAATTCCTTACAGTTATTTAGCTTAGAAAGCATAACATGCAGATAAATCAGTGTACTCCCATTTAAAAATGAAAAACCATAAAGAGAAAATCTAGATCATGTTTTTATTTTCAGGTAAGTTTGAATAATGTTTTTTTTTACCCAACTATATAAAAACAATCAGGCAGTTGCAGCTCATCCAAATAGTTGATGGCAACTTCCTGAGCAGCACCAGTTAAATAGATTATTTCACACCACCCAGAATAGCCACAGATTGCGTGAATATCAAAGGAGCCTTAAAATGTTATTTATCTATTATGGACTGAATGCTCTACAGACAGATGAAATTACTGGTCATGTTTTAAACATGTAGATTCCTCGGGTCATAAGAGACCTGCTCACTCTCATTCAGTTTTTATTGCATATGAACGAAACCTAGGAAGGCATCTTTTTTTTTTTTTTTTTCAAGCTCATTAGCCCTAGAACTCCTTCAAAAAACATAGACGTGCAGAAAAGTTGGTTTCTTTAAAATAGGACCAGGAGCATTATTTACCACAATTTTATAATGAAGGTGAAATTCTATTGCATGTCAACTATTTTTGATGGTGTCTTAGCCATTTTCCTTTGTTTAACTCATCTCTAAATCGCTTTGGATAGCATCATACATAAACAGTGTTTCAATGCAGCCAGTGAAAGTTAAAATAAATGAACAAATTGCTTATTTTCCCGCTCTTTCAGACACTTGCAGATGGTTTGAAAACTGGCGAGACTGAATGGATGGAGCCTTTGGAAAGCACATCAGCTGTAAATCTGACTAAAGCCTACCTTGAAGGTGATTTTGGCAGACAAGGCAATGAGAAACATATTTTAGAGGCTAAAGAAGCTCTCATGTTAATATTGCTTCTTTTTTCTTTTCTTTCAGAGCTTCAGAATTTGGCAAAAACAATACAGGTTCAAACAGCTAAAACAGCAGAGGTGTGATAATAATCCAAACAAGACACTTTTCTTCCTTAAATACAAGTATTTAAGAGGGAAAACTGAGACACCTGCTATGTTTTGTTCTTTTTTGAAGACACAGAAGCAGGAGATGGATCCTCCCATTTCTAATTCCTTCTTGGAAAGAGGAGATTTGGATTTTGTGGAGGAGCTGTGGGTCAGGATGAGAAAAAGTATAATTTATTTGTTTTATTTATAAGCTATAAACAAAACTTGGATTCCATGTATAAAATAATCTGATGCAACCATTTTATTAATTTTTTTCCTTACAGGCGTGACTTCATACCAGGACATTGGAGACTCTCTGAAGCTGGTTGTTGAAGCTCTACGATACGGTGACATTAAGCCTTGGGTATGATATGAGGTTACTCCAGCAATCTAATTAGATTTTTATTTTGTTTTATTCTTATTGTTGATTTTCTTTTCCTCTGCCTCCAGATTCACAGAGACAGCAGCAGCTCTCTCAGCAAACTGATCATTCAGTCTTACCAACAACAGATTGATCACGTGTCTCTGACAGGCATCACCCCAGTCATCATGTTGCTGGAAATGGGAGTAGACAAGATGAGAAAAGACTACATCAACTACTTCATTGGTGATCCCTCTCTTTTTTATCTTTCCTGTATTCATTTTTGTAAAACAAATGTGAGATTTATTTTTGATAATAAATCTCTTAACAATCACACCCAGTAAACCGTTAGGATTCAAATAAAAAGCTGTAATACTTTGTTTATTCTTTGTCAGGTGAGGAATTGACAACTTTAAACCACTTGGTAAGTTGATAAATATTTATTATTTACATATTTGGACGATATGTTTTTTGAAGGAAAAAAAAAACGAAGAATTTAATTCATAATAATAATACATTTTTCTGAACAGAGTTACTACCTGAGCACAGAAGTCGATCTGCAAGAGCAAGTGATCCGACTCAGAAAACTGCACCACTTGTTGGAAATAATAGTAACCTGCCGCACTTTCTTGGGTTTGCCCTACGACCGACTCTTTGCTCTCACACAGTAAATACTGTCCATCCTTTGCTGACTTATGAACAAACTAAACGCGTATTTTACCAATTGGAGAAGCAATCTAATATCTTTTGTATTTACAGATTGGGTTTGAATCACTACAAAACCTCGACATATGATGAGGAACATGAATTCCATCTCCAGATCAAACCAGCCCTGATAAGCCATTTCTATCAAAAGTAAGGTGTCTAAACTTTTTTTATAGCAAAAAAATATTTATTATTTATGTTTTCTTTTTGTTTTTTGTTTATAATAACTGCCAATCTTCCCCAATCTGATCTAGACTCATTGATTGTTAAAGTTGCAGAACTGTATGATGTGTTGCTTTGCAAACTATCGTAGAATTAGGTTTGAGGTTATAATGTGACAAAGATGGTGGGAAAAAAGTAAAAGGGAATACAATTTTCTTAGAATTTGATGTGATAGGCACAAATTACCAAAAAATAGTACGTATGTATTTACCCCCCCAGAGTCGACAGTTTGTAAAATGACATTGTTTTCTTTTTTTACCCTGGAAAACCAAAACAATAAAATTAGTTTGCGTGCATGTTTTCTTCAGGGAGCAACCTGTGGTGTGGGGAGTCGAGATATCCAGTGGTCAAGGTCCTCGTGAGGTGCGGACATCCTTACAGCTCAGTGACAAGCCTCTGGTTGATCACGTCATCTTTGAAATAGGTAATCTATGTGTACTTCTCAAGAAAACCCAGCAGTGCTGCACAGATGTTTATTTACACTCAACACAGGCAATGATCGAGCTATACCAGAAAATTGTTTTATTATTACTTTCGTTTCGCACAATAATGATGAAAATTGCAGCTCTGTAGGTGCGCTGAGAAGGTTTGTGCTTTCCTGAAGGAGGGAGCCCTGGTTTCAGTAAGGCATTTACCTATAAGAGCTACAGCATTGAAATATCAGTGTGAATGCTTCTACCTGATTGGATTGTTCTGACCAGAGCAGGAGAGCTCAGAACAGTTAGCACTCAGTGATTTGAATGCTCGGACTTTGGCCGATGTTGAGAGGCTTTATGGTGATGTTAACTGACACAAGCTAACATTAGCTTTTAGTGACTACACTCACTTGCTACTTTATGTATAGAGGTGAGACTAAGTATGGGACTGCAAACCAATCAAGTCAGGGGTCGTACCAGGTACTCAGAGGCGATGACTGCTGTGATATGATGTAGTTTTTGGGCAATCAACTTCAGCCCACAGTTGTTAATCTAAGTGTGTATTGAGACTGGTCTTGATTCCAGTTAATTACATTTTCTCTCAATACGGGTCTCGACTTTTTTTCCTTGTATGGCAAAAGCCCCTGGGTTTCAAAGTGCAGCAGTGCTTGCCATGCATCCTGTCTGAAAGGCCCTTTCATATCAGCATGCAAAAATTGATATATTGTATGTAAACAAACCACATCCTCAGCCAAGAAGGCAACAGCCTTCTGGACAGTGCCCTTATCAGGGACACTGCCATCCTAATGGTAGACTTCAACACCCATGTGGGGGAAAAAACAGTGGTACCTGAAGGGGTTTGGTCAGGAGGTGGGGTCTGGTGGTAGCATCAGGTGCACATATTCAGCTCCCACCTCCTGGAGAGCTTTTCTTAGATTTCAGGAGAGGCTGGGAAATTAAATTGATTACTGAACTCTCTACCAAACTGATAGAATACGGTGAGGAGCTCAGCCATCTGAGAAAGGCTTGGAGTAGAATTGCTTCTCCTCAACAGCGAGAGAAGTTGGCTGAAGTAGCTCAGACATAAGTTGGTTCTCCCAGGAGGATGCCCAGGACATGCTGGAGGGACTATATTCCTTGACTGGCTCCCCCCAGAGGAGCTGTCTGGGTAAAGGGAAGCTTGGGCATCTCTGGCAGATGATGAGTAGAAGCTTTTTGTCTAAATAAACCTCAGATTAACAAACTATAATCATATGTAGGGCAATGATACAGAGGTAGCCATGATAAAGGCATTTAAACTTCTCTATATTCACTATATGTGCTTAAACTCTCCACTAAGTATATGTAACCTGTTTCTCTTCATTTTTTTTTTATTTTTTTTTTTTAGATATGCCAAATGAAACTGTAAATGAAGACACCAAGGAGCATGTCTTCTTTTCTACAATGATGTGCTGCAGCTTCATCAGCTTTGCATAAATTTACTTTTTGCATTTGCTATTATTATTAGCTGTTATCTCTACTGATCTGTTTGTTGGATTCATTTTGAGTTTTTTAATATGTTCTCATGTTTGTTCAGTGGGGCTGTTAAGAGATTCACAAGAGGCTATATGTTGAACAAAGTTTAATCCTGATAAAAGCACAAAGGCAATCTTCATTTGGAAAATTACAACATGAAATAAAAGTACTATACTACAGGTTTGTTTACCTCATCACAATCACTGACTGTGCTCTATGTTATCTGATCAAACACAGTTTTTTTTTTTTTTTTTTAAGCCAACCCTGTATACACTTCAAATTCAGCGTATAAATTTACCCATTTTCACACAAAAATATTCAAGAAAATATTTGGAGAAAAACTGCATGAGTGTTCATGGTTTCAGACGCCTCCTAGTTCCTTCTGCGCAGCAGGAACATGAGCAGGACAGCACTGATCAAAATGGAGAGTGTGCATACGGTGGGGACAACAATCTCAGTCACCATCTCCATGTGGCTGGTCAGCGGGTCTGCAAAACACATTTACACCCATCAAAACCTTGTAGCGATCACACACACACAGTGCAGGAAGCTAGTGTAGATGCTTATGCACAGCACTCAAAGGTTTAACATTTCTCCCCCACAGAATCATACGTTCTGATTTACTGCGAGCACGAGGATTTCTTACCATGTATAAGTCTTAGAATATTGGCAGCAGTACTCCGCTGTTCCTCTAATAAAAGAAGAGAAAGTACTTAGAGGTGATTAACGGCAATTTAACCCTTTGAGGAGTGCATGCTGCCCCTCCAGAGTATTTCAGGAAGCTGTACATTTAATCCACTGAAAGTACACCTAGGGCTGTGCAAAAGTATGTGCACCCTAACAACAGTGGTGTTTGATGCAGGAGTTTACCCTGCAACAGAAGAATGGATCAATGACCGTGTTGAGAGATTTACTCTGTTTCTGTTTTGTTTGTGCAAATTCAAATGTTTCAGATAAAAAATAAAAAGAAAATGTTTTTTTTACAACTCAGAAGTTTTATGTATTGGAGACAAACCTATCCAGTAAGTGTAAAATTAATACTTCCTCTTCAAACTAAATGATGAATTAGCTGCTGCCAGATTGAGAAATCACAAAAAAAAAAATCTATTTCAATACATGGAGTGGGCAAAAAAGAAAAAAAAATTTTTGAACAGTGGTATAATGATAGGAGAAACAGTAGCATCAGATGCAGGAGTTCGCCTGAGAGTTGCCAGTTCAGCCCAGCTCTATCTCTGCAGTGTCCTTGGGCAAGGCACTCGCATTGCCTACTGATGGTTGTCAGAAAGCCTCACTTCTCTCAGTGAGCCCCGGGGCAACTGTGTGTGACTCACCAGTATTCTATGTACAATGTAGTGTCCTTAGAGTCTATAAATATTACTCCTAAAGATCACATCTGGGAGGGCACAAAAATGTCACATTTAGGTAAGCATGAGACAATGGCAGGAAAGTGACTGCAAAAGCAGCATTCAAGTTATAAGTTGAAATTAGAGCACAACTGTTAAAAACATTAAAATATGCCAGAAAAATATATCCTAGAGAGATCTAAGCCTTTTTGGGGGAAAAAAAAGATCTAACAAGACAAAGGATGAACCATCTTGCATAAATCTAAATGACAGAGATGAACGAAGAAGAAGACAAGTCGAAGTCTAGACTTAGAGCATCATTATGTGACATAAAGAAAACTGGGGGAAAAAAAGGCCCTAAATGTCTTCATAGTTAAATCATTTGTGTGCCCTCTTTCTTCTGTTCTGATATTAGATGTTTTTTTGTTTGTTTTTTACATTTAGCAAACACAGAGTAAATCAATGTATGTAAGCTTTGATTTAAGCATACATGAATTTGTGGTGGGCTAGTGTTTGGGCACTGTGCTTGAATCCCAAAGTTCTGAGTTCAAGCCCCATTCCCACAGATTGCCACTCTGGGTTCCTGAGCAAAACCCTTAACCCCACACTACTCCCCGGAGCCGCAAAATGGCAGCCCACTGCTCCCCAAAGGGATGGGTTAAATGCAGAGAGTTCATTTTGTTGCTTTATACTTGTCACAGTGTAATGACAATAAAGGTGAATTCTATTCTAATTCTAGTCCATTTAAGTCTGATTCATAAAACTATACCTGTAAATATAACATCTAATTTGTGGATTGCCTTGCATGCTGAAATACTCCCTGGAAAAAAGTAGCTTTTTACTTGTTAATCTGCAAACACCTCACTGTTGTAGTTAAATTTTAACCACAAAAATCCACAAAACAGAAATAATTGAAATGTAAAAATCGTGTACCCTGAAGTTCTAAACTTCATCATGCACTGGCCAAACCCTTGGCATCTCGGCATGCTCCTCCGATTTTCTTCTAGCTGAAAGGGCAAACAAAGAAGATATCTCAGATATTCTGAAATTAACTCTGAGGACTAAGTTTAAGTTTAGCCTTATTTTTTTTATTTTATTTTTTTTAGGTATTCTCTTTCAATATGCACTAAGATAAAATTCTAACAGCTTTTGCTAATTTTCATTAACAAATAACCAATTTTTTGTTTGTTTTAAACCAGATCTTTGTTTACCCCAGCTAGCTGTGCAATCACGGACAAAATCATTACAGACACTAAAGATGAACTGACCTGCAGCTAAAAGCTGGTTGCTGGAAGAACACATCTCCACAGCCTTTCTCCTCCAGTTTTCAACCTGTGAATAGTCACAAAAAATTAAAGACTTTGGCTGGATCAATTTCCAAGACTTTATTCTATTATTGTTTTTCACTCTTACATAGCCCAAAATGGACTATACTATACAAAGCTGATGCATTATCTAATCCCACCAAATCAATTTTGTGTTATTTTCTTTGTAATTTTCGTTAAACCAGAGCCATTCAACTGCCAACCCGAAGGCCACTACTGGCCAGATGACTTTAGTCTGGATTGTGAATGAGATAAAAAAAACAAAGACCCCTTTTTAACTTACGCCGATTCACAGGAAACTGCTAGAGTTTTTCCATTAAATTACATTTTGTATCACTTCCATCTATGTTGATCAGGGAAGTATTTGCCATGCTTTAATTCAATGATCAAAAAAGATGAGACTAATACAAAATCTAGCTTTTTTTAAAAAAAATCAAAACTAGATAGTTATTGCGCCTATGAAAATATGTATTTTTATAGTTAGGTTATAAATCCTAAAGGAAAATCAAAGATCCAGATTTAAATACACATCACCAACATTTAGTCAGTGAAGAGAAGAAGAAGAAAGTAAATCCAGATCAAAGGTTTTTAATAAAAAATGGCACGGCATCATAAATTGGCGCGTTAAAGGAATAGTTTAAAATCCACAAATTCGGTGATTTCATAGCTATTTTAACCTTACAGGGAAATGGCAGGGCCAAAAACAGGCATCTCACTTTCATGCTTGTTTCAGAAAACATGTATATTTTAGGACAGATAGAGAATAGGGAGCAGCAGGAAAGATCCAGGGCATAGTAGGCTCTTGTAAATAAGGCTCAATTGCTGCAAAGCATCAATTTGAGAAACTACTCCACCACATGGCCCACTAACCTCGCCTGCAAACTCAGTTCTTATGGCATTTATAAGTTCACAAAAAAACCTAACTGCTACACATCATTGACTCAGCATGTGGCCCAAAGTCCAATGTGAAGAACTACATTTCAATTTCAAAGAAAAAAACAGTTGTACACATTAGGCCTCTGCCAGTGTTTCTCACCTCTCTTTGATTCGGAAATCCATTAGAGCTGATGATCCGTTTGTAAAACTGCACAGAAGCTTTTGGATAACGAGGCTTGTTTTTGTTCCTGAAGTCCACGTAGTACAAGCCGAATCTCTCAGAGAAACCTTCGTCCCACTCAAACTTGTCCAGCAAGGACCATGCAGTGTAGCCCTTTACATTGACTCCATCTCTGATGGCTGAGTGAGAGAGAAACATGATTGGATAATGCATTGATCTTACACAGTTTGTTATATATTACATTTGGAATCAATTACCTTTTAGCATCTCATTGATGTATTCCTTATAATATTGTATCCTCCACTCATCACACAGCTCTGTGCACATCATCTTCTCAGAGACTCCATTCTCTGTCACATAAATCATCGGGTTTCCATACTGAGTCTGCAGGAGGGAGAATCACATAAACAGGTCAGTTATTTGGACTGGCTCTGAGCTGAGATCAGCTACGATTCAGCAAAAATAAAAGCCATTTCTACTCTGTACCTTTACAAAATTCAGCAGACGTCTGAATCCCCATGGCACAGAGTAGAGCCATTCTGACCCAGGATCAGGCCATCGTGGGTCAACCAGCTCAGCCAGGTCACGGTCTGTGAAGTAGCTGCTGCTGCTACGACCTGGAGGGTCGTTCCTGTTGGTGATGTAGCGCGTGGTGAAATGACCAATGCCAAGGAAGTCACACGTCCCCTTTATGTAGCTCTTCTCTTGTGGGGAAAACGAAGGCAGTCGAGACGTCCCCAGCCCTTGCTGTGCACTTTTCCTTCCTGCACACAAGTTGTTTAGTGATTTATTTTTTTAGTCTAAAGCAAGAATTAAAGCCTTTGTTTTGGAGGAATCTAAATGAGAAGCACTAAATTACATGGACATGCTGCAGATGATTAACAAATATTGTATGGCATAAAGGATAAGATGTACACACAGGTTTGGTAGGCCATATTAAAATTAGCTAATTGCTTTTTTCTTCTAGCAGCTTCAGAGAGGACGTTAAAGAAATATAAAGTTCAAAGCAATGGAAGTGAATGGAACTAATAATGATAATAATTAAAAAATATATTGCACTAAAAATTATCAATATTATTTATATTGCACTTTATGCAACATCTCAAAGTGCGTCAACAAAAATGCAGAAAATGAGCCTAATTAAAAGCATTAAATATCTGTCTTAAAACACAAATTGCTTTGCATCTTGTATGAAGATCGTCTTTTTGCGTGAGAAAATTTGCATCTGTTTTAATTCACACAAACGTTTTGAAGATCAGACCGTATACAGTGTAACTCACCAACAAAATCTTTCATTACTTGAGGGTAGTCTCCATGAAACATAGGCGTGGCGAACCAACCCAGGTAGAACTGTACATATCTCTCTGCCGCTTCAATGTCTTTTTGATTGCTGATGTCCACCGGCTCACCCCAGTCCCCCGCCAGCGAGACGCCAACCAGGCCTGCAGACACGCAGAGCAGCTCTCAGCATTTGGAAACCAAATTCAGGATGAACCTTAAACCTTTTTTTTTCACAGGATTTACTGCCTTGCTTACCTTTTTGTTTCGCCCTCCATTGTGTATCATAAGTGTGCCAAACTTTGGCATGTGCCTGCATGCCAAAAGATGTCATTTAAGGTCCATCCGTTGAACTAATTTCAGTTAGGTTTAAATTAATGAATACATCTGCAGCCTCTTCTTACCTTTATGATGTGATGTGCAGCTCTGTAAGCCCCAGATCCTCTCAGCTTCAGCCCAGGAGCGTGCTCACCTGTTTCATAGCCTTCAACAGCCACAGACTGAGTGGTAAATAAAGATACAGATGTCTGAGATAAATAGTGGGATTTTAAATATTGGATTATGCAAAGGTATTGCAAAATCTCTTGAAACAGTATAAGAGCTTGCAGCAAACATACCCATGGATTGTTGAAAGTAATCCAGTGCTTCACCCTGTCACCAAATTTCTCAAAGCAAAGGTTGGCGTAGTCATTGAAGTGATTGATCATACTTATGTTTTGCCATCCGCTGTATTTCTCTTGTAAAACCTAGAAAAGAAAAAAAAAACCACACAATTTATTATTTAAAGGGGTATTAGAGTTAAGCTTTTAGGTGGCCAGCATAAAACACACCCACCTGAGGCAGATCCCAGTGATACAGCGTGACAATGGGAGTGATGTTGTTCTCCAGAAGATGGTCAATGAGTTCGTCATAGTACTGTATTCCTTTTTCATTAACATGGTCAGCTGCAAACAGTGTTCAACTTTAGAGTGAGGATAATTTCATACGAACAATTGGAGCACCTAAAACTTTCACAAAGGTTCGCATGTTATAAACAGTGTACTTAAAGGGAATATATGTCAAAATAAAGGAACACGTGACAGAGAAGGAGAAAACAAAGAATTTCAGTATTTTTTTAACAAATATAAAAGTTAAAAAGTCTGACATAAATTTTTATTCAGCCCTCTTAAGTCAAAACCCTTTTTCCCCAGTTAGCACTAAAATGTTTTGCTGTATATTTTTGACAACTTTGCAGATTAAATCACTAAAAGTGTTGTCTGTTCTGTTAAAAACAAGTAAAATTGGATGGAGAGCATCTGTGAGCCGCTAACCATGGGCCTCTTGGTTGCTCTTTTGCGCTAACTGTCAGTTTCTGAGAGGAAGAAACTGTATGAACATCTAACTAAATGCAAGTGTAAAAGGAATCATAGATCTTTTTTCTCCACTTAAAGGAATAGTACACCCAAAACATGATTAGCCTTCATTTTCTACTCACCCCCATGCTGAACAACACTCTGGAGTACTTTTTTGATATCTCAAATGCATCTGGAGATCTGGGAGGCTTCTTGCTGTCTGCTGACATTCAAATAATGGAGGTCTATGGTGCCCGAGACAGAAAGGTCCATAAAAGTCCACAAAAAACATGTCAATATTCCTCCATACTGCTCGTCCAATGCATTCCAAGTGTCCTGAGTGGGTAGCATCCAGAATTTACTCGAAACGAAGTCATTTAGAGGCACCATAGACCTCCATTATTTGAATGTCAGCAGACAGCAGAAGCCTCCCAGATCTCCAGATGCATTTGAGATATCAAAAAAGTACTCCAGAGTGTTGTTCAGCATGGGGGTGAGTAGAAAATGAAGGCTAATCATGTTTTGGGTGTACTATTCCTTTAAAGTTATCTACTACTTTGTTTTCTTCTATCACATAAACTCACATTAAGATGTGTGTTTAAAAAAAATAATAAAATAAAATAATATATACATAGTGATATGATCTCTCTTTGTAGAGCTTTACTCACATTTTACACCAGTGGGAATGATTCTGGGCCAGGAGATGGAGAAACGATAGTGGTTTAGTCTGAGCTCCTTCATCAAAGAAACATCATCCTGTACAAAATACATCAGATATATTTAGGTTGATCTACTGTATGCACATCACACAAACTCCTTCTGTCTCTTATTCACTCTGATTCCCCACCTTTATTTTGTAGTAGCTCTCACAGGAGGAATCCCCCGTGTCATTTAGCTGGATTTTGCCCTTTTTATGACTGAACACATCCCAGATGCTCAGTCCTTTTCCATCTTTGTCCCAGGCTCCTTCTGTTTGATAGGCCGAACCTCCGGCGCCCCATGAAAATCCTATCAAATGCAACACTTGATCAGCTCAGCGGGCTCTCACAGCTGGCATGGTTGGCAAAATGAACAAACGACTTTTCTGAATATAGGTATACCAGTTGGAAAAGTGCCATAATAGAAGGAGCCGTAGTTGTTCTTTGTCCAGTCGAAGTCCTCAGCCGTAGACAAACACAGCACCAACATAAGCACATGGCACACACTGAGTGCACAGCGGGGCTGCATGGTACTCCAGAGTCTGCAGCACAGCTGATGAGATCCTCCCTAATGTGGGCTACAAACAGGGCCAAGAACTCATCTAGTGACCACTTTTAATCACAAAAACAGACAATAGTGGTACAACAAGGCTAACAAATGCACGCTTTCTTGAAAATGAAATATATTAGTATCAGAGACAAACTTAAAAGTCCATCAAGCTCTCTATAAGCATCCAGTGTGATGGTCTGTGGGGGGTCTCGGCCCCCTAATGCAAAGCCAAATGCCTCTTTTCAAACTCAATGGAGTGCGAGTGCATCCTGCTGAGGCTGACAGATTCTATACAAACTGTGGTTTCACCTCTGTAAGCAAAGCTAATGTTTGGGAGGTTGATACATTTACAGTCAACAGTCACATGACATCTGTGTTTTCACACAAATAAATATGGACATTAAAACTCCTGCAATTATTTTTCTAATATAGTGACAATAACATTTTAGAATCATATCAATTTAGAAACATAGCACAAAATATAATGAATTTGATCGAATTCACTCACATATTACCTTATGTTATAGTTTACTTAAAGTCATATCATTCCCAAATGTAGGAAAGAAGTCTGGGAGAAGAAACTCCTCCAACGCAGCAGAAGATGGAGAAAGCTAGAGACATCGAAGGAAGAAGTCTCCACAGCCTGGTGCAGCACTATTCATCTCCAGAACCGTCCCCTGCAGTAGTGTGAACGCTCACTGCATTGTGAGACTAAATGTATTGTTTTACCTGTTGGAAAATGCTGAATAGTTTGTTTTTTTTTTCAGTTGAAAGTGATTGCACTGCATTCCCATTTTTCTGGGTCAGATGAGGACAGAAATATGTTTTAGCTTAGGTGTAAAATGAATTTATTCGCATTCAAAAGAAAAAAACAACAACATTTTTGATGCTTTATAAATGATTCCAAAACTACGAAATATCTATTAATTAAACAGAACATGTGCAAGATGTAAAGGTGGCCAAATTAGCTCAATGAAGCACAATTGGTCATAATTCTGACCACTAGATGGCGACAAAGTGCTTCCAATATTAGCCTTTGTATGAGCTGGGGTCCACTTCATGAAGCAGGTTTACCCATAAGTCTAAACCTAAATTTGAATAAACCTGAAAACAGGGAGCTGACTTTTCCGGTTCACAAAGAGAGTTTATTCAACCTCTGTTTCAGTCACCATTGTAACATTCTCCTCAGAGCTAACCTATATATAAAATTCACTTATGAAGGTTATTGTTTCAAAACTATTTGTGCATTATAAGTGTGAATTTGAAGTTGTAGAGAGAGGTGCATTCTAAGTTTTGTATTTGTAGGATAAAAAAAAAATAAAAAATCACAAATACAAATTTGTTTTACATCTGTTTAAAATTTAAGTACCAGTACACAAATTCTGTTCTACAAGTTGCACATAAAAAATCTCTTACATTCTCAGTTTTGCTTCAAATGATCCAAAACTATTGTTGCAAAACTATTTGTGCATTGTAACTTTGGTGTTTCTTAACTGTAGATGTTTTTTTAATCTGTAACAATTACAAAATAAAGTTACAACTCTTCAAATTCTTGAGTATAAGTACAAAAATTATGTGAGTTGCACGTCAAAAATATCTTCATGCAACTCACAGAACACAATTTGTGTTCTACTAACATTCAACATTCATGCCAACACTATGGCGAGCCTTTGATATGTACTAGTTTTACTGAATGTATTCCTGATATCTGGAAAACAAAACAAATATTTGTCTAAATGACCATTTAAAAAAAATGACATTCTCCTCATCTAGAATAAACATTCTGGATGCCTATAAATTGATTTCAGATCTCCATATTCCTAATATTACTGGTCAGCATTTGTATTATTTTAACTATGAAACAATATTTTTCAGATATAAATATATTTTCAATAAAGCTGATAAATGTCAGAACAGCCACTTAAAATGTGTAAACTTTTCTAGATAAATCAAACTTAATTCTTATTTGTTGTTTTTTACTTCCTAAAATTCATTTTCTGCAACAAAAATGTAATTTAGAAAATATTCTATCATTGTTAGGTCTAGGAGTGTGATTTTGATCAGGAAGAATCTTATTTTAGTGATCTACAAATGGATCAACAGAGGAGTGGTTTTAATAAATGTAAATACGGCCTGCCATAGCCCACTTAAAATAAACTTAAACATATAAACTTATTTAAACGTATTACTTGAGCAACAATCTTCTCCTTTGCCATTTTCCTCCCTTTGTAGCTGTAGCGCTGATTCTGTCTTTTAAACACATTCTGCTTTTTTATTTTACTGTTTGCATTTATGCATTAAAATCTCGTTCCAGTGGGATGAAATTGGCACCTCCTGTTGCCTGTTGTTATGGTGACTCATCGAATCGTTGCTCCACTGATGGCTTTCCATACTTGTTGCTCAAGCTTAACTCCAACTGGAACTGAACTGAACTAATTCATAGCAGCCTTTGTAAATCCGAACACTCAAGAGTTCCCAACTTTGGCTAGATCAGCTCAGAGTTGCAGATTTGAATCTGAATTTGTTAAACCTGCTTCATGAAACGGACCCCTGATTTTGAAAGTGATATGTACCGTTAATAAGTGGTATACCTTCTGATCGAATATAAATTGTGATCATGGCATTAAGTGATTAAAGCAAGACTCTAGTGCATCTATATAGAAGTGAATATAATCAAAAAAATATTTAAATGAAACATTTAAATATATTAATTTAAGGGTAAAACATGTCAGGTTCTAATTTAACTTTGATTAGTATGGATTACAGATAAAATCTATAAGTAGATCAAACGATAAAAAAATGGCATTATTAAAATCAATTTATTCCAAATACATATATCCCTTATTAAATTGTCTGAAAAAAAACCCACAATTAAACAAAAACAAAATCGGACACAGAATAACAAATGCAAAACATTTATTTTTGTGCTTACAATTCTCATTTCTTTTATAACAACACATACATTTTTACTCTTTTATGGCCCAGCCATAATGTTTCATGATACACATATCAACCATAGGGATTTCTGATTTTGAAGTGAATTTTCACCAAAAATTTGGTCTAGAACGCTACTGAATAAGCACCTAATGAAACTGCTTTAAAGCATTAAAGTGACGCGTTTCTCACAATATTTGAAACAAATGGAGAAAAAATTCAGTTGATTCAGTTTAAACCAGGCAAAGAACAGGCGATGCTAGCACCACTATGACACTGTAACTCTTACTCCATCTAAATAAGTTACACTCACCAACATACAAAAAAGGGTCTCTCCATTGTTAACAAGTGGTGCAAATACACACATACAACCCATAATTCTTAATAATCCTGTTCCTCCTCATCCTCTTGAGGCAAAAATCCAAGCTCATTGTCATCTTCATCATATTCATTCTCCTCGTCTTCATCCTCTTCGTCCTCCTCGTCTTCGTCATCATCCTCCTCCTCCATGTCGTAATCCTCAGCACTGTTCAGCAGGAGTTTGGTTCGATTGATTTCACCCTCATCATCAAGATTAACATTAACCTGCAAGAATATGAATAAATTAGATCAGAGACACAGGAAAAACACGAAAGACATCACTCAGCAAAATGTCGTATTTCCACAATAAGTGGCACCCACTAGATTAAAAAAATAATAATTAAATTAAAAATGGAAACATATGTATATAAATAAGCTACACAGGGCTATAAGCCGCTGACACCTACTGAACCGTTTCCCTCCAAACCTGTAGAGGGAGCTCTACATATCGCCCCTGGAGTAATGGGAAAGAACGCTAGCCCCTGTTAGCTTGTTGGCTCGCCGCAGTAAGACTTTCTACTGAAAGATGGGGCTTCATTAGCTCTTTATTTTAGCTCTGCAGGAGTTGGGCCCAGTCTCTTCATTGGTTGGGCAGCTTTAAGGCGGCAAATTAATGTCAAAATGTTTGAATTTGTGGCATTTGTTCTCTGTCGTGCCTGCTGTTAGAAAGTTCTTGTGCTTAATGTAAATTAGCCCCTTATTCTTTCATTTCCAATTCTGAATTCCTCATCTGATGGTTAGGTAAATTCCACAGAAAAACATGATGTAAGATATTCCAAAAAACTAAAAAAAACAATCCACTGGACTTTGTTTCCAAGTTTAAAGACGTTTCGCTTCCCATCCAGGAAACTTTTTCCTATTCAAAATGTCAGGAATAGCACTGACATTTTGAATTGAAGGCTGGATGCAGCGTGATGTAAGATACAATTAACAGATCGAGACAACATGACACTGTTAAGTAGAATTTAGATAGACGATTTTCAAACAATGAATTTTTTTTTTTTTTTAGATAATTCTCTTCCCATCCGCTACCAGCCTTACCAACAACCCCAAGAGCCCCCCGTGACACTGTCACGGTATATTTGATGTTATACATTGTATATAACTATAGATTCTGTATATATATATATATATATATATATATATATATATATATAATTTGTCTGCATCATCAGCACCAAATCTAATTTCTTGTAAGTGCAAACCTACTCAGCAATGAATCAGATTCTGATTCAACCAAAATGTAAAGCATTTACATAGATTTAATTAATCAGGATCACTTGCAATTAACTGTCTTTACCCTGATGCCTTAATAAAATCCATTCAACCAATATTTGATCAAACTGTTTTTCAATGAAATAAACCCAAAATAGTGGAATTTTTACCAGTTGTGTACAACCAGAGACGGAAATTGTTGTGCAGTCATCATCAATCTATTATTCAAATAATCATGAACTATTTTAGTTATCAATTCATTGTTAACTGGAGTATAGACTGTCACAGATGCAATCAGCAAGAACTTACTCACTTCGAGTTATTATAGCAAAATATATATATAAAAATACTATGCATATAAGATTTAAAAAATGATTTTGTCCATGAATATGATGAATCTAGAACTCATTATTTTATTTTAGCTGCAGCTGGTTTAAATTCTGTATAAAACCTTCATTGAGATATTTTTTGCTACACAATTATGAAGTGATAGATTGGAAAAATAAACAACAGATTAATCAATCAGCCAAATTATTAGTTACAGCCCTACTCTACAAGTTTAGAAAAGCATCCCACAGCACAAGGCTGCCACCACCGTGTCTCTGAATGCAAGTTAAAGCTCTCAGCTCATTATTAGTAGAATAGAAAACCCCTTTATTGTCTCACAGTGGGGAGATTCTGTTTTTCACAACATCAAAAAATTATCAAATAAAATGTCACACAAATGTGGACCTTAGAAAAATGTCTAAGAATAACAATAGTGAAGAGTTAAAAGAAAAAAAAACAATAAAATACTTTACTGTAAAGTGTTTTAACTATATAAAAACTTTGCACCTGGAGAATAAAAGTCTCATAACCATTTGATGCCTTGAAATCAAGTGATTATTTTTATTTTTACCTCATTTTCTGCTGAAGGTTCCTGGGAGGCTCCTTCTTCTGTTTGAGCGTTGATGATAGACTTCAAGGCTCCTTCTTCAAACTTCAATACAACGTGCAAAAACAACATTATATAGGATGATGTGCACAACATTTTTCTATATATTCGTGAACTCACGCTGACCTTCAGGCGGTTCAGCTGGTCTTGCAGCATGACTTTGATTTTGAGGAGAGTCTCCTCTTCCTTCTTCAGCTCCTGCAAACGGCTATGCATGTTTGCTGCTGCAGTGTCAGACCATTCCTTCAAAATGAAAGTGTGAAAAGATGCTGTTAGCTGCTGGCTCTGGGCTTTGTTTGCTGTGGATGTGTTTGCTCATTGTGTGCAACATTATCTTTTTTTTCCTTTGATCACATTTAGTTAGCTATAGTGGTGATAACAATTATAATTTCACATCATTTTGCCAAATAAGAAATCAAATTTTCTGGGTTAATAACAAAATAAGTTATATCGAGGTACTAACCGGTTAGTTTACTTAGCTGGAGCATTTTCAAAAAGTCTTACCTCTGCTTATAAACACTGTTTACAGCTCGATTCAAGCATTTGAATATGAAAATCTTGCTAATGTGTGTCAGCAAGCATCTATTTCAGAGGAATCCGACTTGTTATGCTACAGGCTAATTGGCTTCCTGTAATAGAAATGGCGTCATTCTTCTTCTTCTTCTTAAAGCAACGTTTTGGTACACTACCGCCCCCAACTGGAGTGGCGTGTTAACGGCTATACAATTCCAACTTATACAGAAAATAAAGGATTTACATTAAGCCATGCGATGTAAGTGAGAATAAAACAGCAGCAACAAAACCTAGATTAATAATAATAAATATAACTATGTTTTTATTTTTCATTAGAGCATTTTTATCACTGACTGTTTACTGACTAAACCTTAAAACTGCACATTTGCTTTTGGACACCTTTCTAATTTACAAAAAAGATTCTAGGAACTAGAATATATCTACAGTTAGAATATATATATATATATATATATATATATATATATATATATATATATATATATATATATATTTTTTTTTTTTTTTTTTTTTGTTCAGCTTAAATACTTTTCAAATGGAACCAATTGTCCCAGCTGTAAGGCAGTTGCAGAATAAGAAGGTAATATAACAAAAACTTGGTTCTGAAAGAATTACAGCTGAGTGATAATTAAAAAAGGCGAAGGGTTAGTCTAATAATAGCTGAGAAACTTACACCTTAACAATAACATTTTGAGTTAATGATCCTATTTCTGATAAAACTGTACACTATTTAACTAGATTTCTTCTCCTAAAATAGAAATACGATCTTATGAGTCATTTTTTCCACCATATAAAAGGTAAAATTCTGATAAGTGTTGAATTTGGCGACATCTTGCGGCAGGTGTGGGGCATTGGCATACGTATGCGAGCAAAAATAATGCTGCTCGACTATTTATTTGATTCACATTTACAGAAAGAATATTATTATATATCATCATATATACACGATGTATATGACTATATACATATACATTATTAGATCTTTTGAATGACGATGAAAAAACATTAATTTTAGCAAACTATGAACTTGTGTACCTCACAAAAGCAATCTAATTTTTTTTTCTACTCCTACCACTAAAGTGTGCAACTTCAGATTTACCAGACCTCTAAAAAAAAGTATAGCAGCACTAACGAATAGTAAACATCAAAAGTATTTTTTTTTTTATTTATCTTTACTTGGCATCAGGTAAAATATTTTTTAACAATATCAATATTTCTATCATCTTATCAAATTTTCCTAGAATTATTGCAACACTTTTATATGAATTAATTACTTTTGTCATTTTATCTTGTATCATTGTAGTAATTTGAATAAAGTTATGATTTCTGAGGCTATGAACATTCTGTGATATTTCTTATGCTATTACGATAAAAAAAATGGTACATAGGACAAGTATTGATCATTGGAACCATATTTCAAAGGCTTATTAGGTGAACTTGTATCATTGTTTGTGTTCCATGTTGTTTATTTCTTACCACAATTCCACTTCTGAAAAGCTTGAAATGACAATTCTCAGGTTTACAGTGAAAATAACCTAATTTGAGCACATGTAGCTTGTGACATCCTTCTAACTATTAATAGCAGAGGTGATTTTTTTCCTCTATTATTTTTACATTTTGTTAGATTTATATGTCTTGAAGATATTTATTAAATATACTTTAATAATGGGATAAATTTTGATAGAATTAATTCAAATAGAAACTCCCTTATATAGATGCTATATTTATACAGTGGATGTAAAAGGTACACCTCTATTATAATGCTTATAGTTTATAATGTAATTCTATTTAAAACATTACACATCTTGAAAATGACAATATTCTTCACAGATCAATAAAAAAATAAAAAATAAACCTCACACCACAAAAAAATCAGTTAAAAGATGATAAAAATAATTAAAATAAAAACATGGTCAAGTGTGTATTATATATATAGTATATTATATATATATATATATATATATATATATATATATATATATATATATATATATATATATAAAATGGTAGAAGTTGTTGTCATTGTTGAAATAAAACTTCCAACCAATATATTTATTTTTTATTTCTTGTTTATTTCTAATTTTATTATTGTACAATACAGAAATTCATGGCAGAGGCTAGTTTGTGAACCAGCAGATTTCCTCTCTGCTCTTAACAGGAAACACAGCTTTATAGTAATACAGGATTTTGGTGACATTGTGGGTGAATACAGGTTCTAAAATCATTAATCTTTGCCTAACAGAGGTGGTTCTTTTTCTGTGACATATTTGTCCACTGTATGTGGAGTAATGTTCCTGCTAAATCCCCCAAACCATCACAATAATGATAGGACCAAGTGGGGCAGATAAAATCAGTGAGAACAAAAATAAATCCCATATGGAAGGTATTTACGTGAACAAGATCTGAAACGGCTCTTAATCAGTCTTCAAAAATGTTTGAAGAGCCCATTAGATTCTTTATAGGATTTCTTCACTAAGTCCATCCAGATGTGAATGTTGATAATGATATAGCACACAGGCACAACTGGAGACAAAGGAACTATAGAGGAACCATGCCTGTCTCTGCTTACACACATGAAAAGAGGAATGCTGTGGGTTCCCCACATTCCCTAATTTTTCCATGTTCTTTGTATATTTAGTGGTTTTACATTCTTGGGATTCGGGGGTGGGGGGTTGATTACTGTAGGAAGTCTTACAAAAGAAGTAAAGACTGAGTACTCTTCTAAAGGTCCCTCAACAGAATAAATAGCTCAGACATAGTCATGTTAGAAAGTACTGAAAAGACAGGGGGTGTATTGTGTGTATTGTGTGTAAGGGCTGAAACTGGCAGAACCTTAAATGAATAGAACCACCTGAAAAAAATAATAATATGTAGAAGCAAAGTTAAAAAAGCTGAGTATTATTGCTCTTATAGAAAGAAAGACTACATTCAGCAGCCAATAAAATTTAAGCGAGGGATCTTGGCCTTTTTTTTCCTAATTTTAACTAAACTCTGCCCTTTCCTCTGTTTACATTTCTCTCTTGTCTGGTTCCACTTCTTGTTCCTTGCAGCCGGTTCTCCTCAGATATGTTCTCCTGCTGTGATTGCATCCAGTTTGCTTCATCCTCCACTCCTGTTCTATCATGCAGCCTGCCTCTGAGCCGTGGTTCTTTGACCTGGCTGCCTGTTTTCCTTCCCTTGCTCTGCTCCACTCTGCTGACTGGGTGATCAGCTTCACCTGCTGCTAACTCCTTTTAAAGTCAGGTTTATGCTCAGAAACCAGGTCGTCTGCATGTGTGTCGCATTTAATGCAGATTTGCACCCCCCCCCTTTGTGAAGACAATTTGGTGCACCTCCCCAAAATTGTAGGTGGCTGCAGACAGTGCTGCAGATAGCATCGCAGGGAGGATGCTATCTGTGGAAATTCTACATCTGCACTACATTATGTGTATTTCCTGTTTGGTACATAATGGCAGAAACTCTCGCTGTAGTGCCGTCCACAACGCCTGGCACACCTTCTTCTGGGGGATCTCTCTCTGGGTCTGTTCCCCCTGAAGGGATGTAAGAGGACTGTAAGAATATGTGTAGTTTTTGCCTCTGAGTGCGTCTACATTGTGTGCTTGTATATGTCCGTATGTCTATAAGATTGGGATTGTGTGAATGTGATTGGATAAATGTGAATTTTTTTCTGTCTACTTGTCATGTTGGGTTTTTGATTTCCCCCACCACACCCACTGATCATCCTAGGCTCCAGGTAAGAGCATGGCCTGCTTCCTCCCCCTGATCTCCCTGCCAGTGGCAGGTTCCTGTGTCTGCTAGATACCTGCTACTCTTGAAGCATTTTTCTTTTAAGTTTACTTTGGTTGTCTTTTTGTTGTCATATTCTCTGTGTTCTGTTCCTCTTGTCTTTTACAGGTATGGAAGCAGGCTTCTAGGAGTTAGTGTGTATCTTCTGTGTTGTCTATTTTTGCTTTTTTTAATTTCTCTCTTTTCATGCACTCCTTTACTCTCTCTCTCTCTCATACTGTTCTGCTTTCGAAAGCAAAGCTGTTGTGCTATCAGCTAGCTCTGGAACTACAATTCCAGAGCTATATTGGCTAAACAAGACACACACACAAAAAGGCAGGCTCCTAATTCATCTGAGTACAATTCCCTTTAAAGAAAAAAAAAAAAAAAAAAAAAACTAGAATAGCACTCTAAGAGTGCAGACCTCTGCCAAGCAGAAAATTTCGCACAATATTGTGACACCTATAGCTAAAAGTAACACATGATCTGGATCATTACCAAATTTAAATTAATTGTTCCTTGGTGCACCTTTGGTAACGATTTCCTTAAAATCCTTTCTAAATAAGGCACAGTGTTTGTCTGCAGCCTCTGGTGTTTGTTCTGCTCCCACCTTCTTCATTCATTCTGCAGTCTGCTTTCTTGTTTGATCGGCAGATCGAGACTTCGAGCGAGGCATAGCTCCCCTTTCCTGTGTTTTTGTCTTCAGTATAATACTTCTGGACTTTTTGAGCCCGATGCTGAAGCTGTCAACAGTCACTGCTGCCACTCTCTGGTTTAGGGGGGAACTGATTGTTGCGCCAAATAATGTTAAAGAATCTTTAAAGAAATGACTGCATCCGGATTATGATGCAGACCATCAAAATAATGGATTTTTCCTGGACTGAGGAGCACATTTGATAAAAATTTCATTAAAACCCGTCCATAACTTTTCAAGATATTCTATACACAGACAGACAGATGGACAGACAACCACACATAAACTCGACATGAAAGATAACCTCCTTGGCGGATGTAACAATAGCTGCTATCTGATTGGTAGTTTGGAGTAGATGGGGGTGTTTCATTTTGCAGTGAAGGTAAAGTAATCCACTGAATACTTAAACATACAGATAAAACCATTAGAATCAGAAAATGCTTTTTCATTAGCTATAAATAAGAGTTTTACACATACTGGGATTTATTTTTGGCGATGAGGTGCTACAAATATATATAAGGAAATATACAGTTAACATAAATACATTTGAGGATACAAGACTTAAAAAAAGCAAAGGAAATGTATTTTAGAGGAGCACCACAGCATGGATTAAGAATAAATAATACAGAAAAATAAAACTAGATTTAATAATCAATCTTCGTGGGG